AAATGGGACACAAAAGGTAATCGGTTCGTTGCCATCTCTCCTTCCGCCGGCCTCTCTGCCAAGCCGCATTGTGTCCTTTCATCTTCCCTCGCCGCGCTTCTCGGCATTTTTTATCGCTCTCCATCCACTCTTTCTTCCCCTTTCTTCTCTGTGCTGCTCTGCTCTCGGAGGCGCGGGATAATGAAAGTGTGAGTGTGTGAGTTTGTGTTTTAATACGTTTATTCATGCATGATTCCCATTCTGATTGCAGGAGTGAATATTTATAGTACGCGCGTGTGTGTGTTTGTGCATGCGTGTATGTGGGTGTTTGTGTGCGTATCTGTGTGCATGAATGTGTCCACTCTGTATGTACGTCTGTGTGCGACCGGCCGGCAACACCTCCTTCGCTCGGGCGCTGACAGAATTAGTGGCCGTTTTCTCAAACTTTTTTAAAAGCCAATAATAAAAAAGCGAGAAAGAGAGACCGGGCAATTGAGCTCCGTTTCAGAGCGGATCATTTTCTCCTCGCTGTTGCCTCGGGCTGTTTGCCGCGACGGAGATTGCAACTTCAGCACGAAATATGATGAATGACGAATCTATACCTCGGTTGTGTTGACTGTATCAGCGGCTTTGGGAGAGGTAAGGCGGGCGTCGAGGCTGAGGGACTGGCAGTTGTGGGGTTGTTTAGTCGGCTTTGGGAGTCATGGGGTTTTGATAAGTGCGGGTAACTGTTTGGGTTTTAGTATGAGAGGTGGTGAATATGATAAATGCACGGACGCACACACACATACACGCACACACACACATACACGCACACACACACATACACGCACACACACACATACACGCACACACACACATACACGCACACACACACATACACGCACACACACACATACACGCACACACACACATACACGCACACACACACATACACGCACACACACAGACACGCACACACACAGACACGCACACACACAGACACGCACACACACATACACGCACACACACATACACGCACACACACATATACGCACACACACACATACACGCACACACACATACACGCACACACACACATACACGCACGCACACACATACACGCACGCACGCACACACACACACACACACACACACACACACACACACACACACACACACACACACACACACACACACACGCACACACACACACACACACACACACGCACACACACGCACACACACACGCACACCGCACACACACACGCACACGCACACACACACACGCGCACACATACACACACACACACACGCACACACACACACACACACACACACACACACACACACACACACACACACACACACACACACACACACACACACACGCGCGCGCGCGCGCATACCTCCACAAGGAAGCTGTTTCACGCGTATTGTGCGTCGGCGTTCGGGGCAGAGCGGCCGGCGAGTCGGTGTGCAACGGGGAACCCCCGGCCGGCAAGGAGTCACAGGGCCTCCCCGACAATTGCGTGAGTTGGGAGGTGGAATTGTGTTCTCTTTAGTACCTCGGACGTAAAAAAGGGGAAGAGAGGGAGAAAAAAAAGAGCTAGATTCATTTTCCGATTGAACGATGTTTTATTGAGCGGCCCCGTAGTGTATTACGTCGGGATTGTGTTTGCTCGTTATAGTTTGATGAACGGGGGGGGGAGGAGGAGGGGGGAAGAGGGAAGCGGGGTGGGGGGGTTTTACATCTGTCATCTACGTACGATCGTTCTGAAAGACTTCATTGTACGAGGACCAGTCCATAAATTTCTCCCTCCCCCCTTCCCCCCCTTCCCTTCCCTTTCCCCCTTCTTCCTCCCCAGCAATGCTACAATCCCCTCTCTCTCTCCCCTCCCTCCCCCCCATGCGTAATGGATATATAAAACTTCTCTTCCCCCTCTGTATTAAGATGTTGTACTCGGATCAGGGAACAAAGGGTTGTGTGAGTGAGTGCGCGAGAGGCCTGGCACTGGACAAAAGGTTCGGGTGCCTCTTAACAATGGCTCTCCCCCTCCGAGCGCTGCAGTCATCGGCGGGGGTGCAATGGCGCGGATGTTACGACCTCGGGCCTCTGCCACGACCTCGCTACCACGACGACCACAGCGTAGGCCTACCTCAGGGCTCCTCCTCCTCCTCTCGCTCGAGGAAGGAGGAGGAGGAGGAGGAGGTTGACGTCGCGGTGATTTTTGGTCTTGGTTTCGGGTCGCTCTGGACGTCGGGGGGCCTCGTGGCGTCCGGGCGGGGGGGGGGGGGGTCCATTCCGCCTCCGCCTCAGTGAGTTTTGAGCGCCGACAAAAGCGACAGACCGCGATATTGTACACAAATTACAATAATTGTGTCGGGAGAGGGGGTGGGGGGGGCGGAGGTTATAAACTGTTTAGGCGGAATTTACGAGGCCGATAAATAACGTTGTTATCAATACCCGCAGTTGTAAAGAGGTGGAAGGATTCTTTTGTCGATCGGCCTCGAGGGAGGATGCGTTGCCGAAATAACCAGAATAACGCGCTTCCTGTAGACGGAACGGCCGGCAACGAGGACTCGCCCCTCCTCTCGCCTTGCTTGGTTGGGAGGGCCCGGCGGTGCCCACGCGAGGGGAGAAGATGAGGGCAAGAAGCGACCACTCCACTCTTTCCCCTCTCCTTCTCTTGCCTCCCACCCCCTCTCCCCTTCCTCGCTCCCGAAACCGAGGGGGAAGAAAAGGTTAACTTCCTCTCCCCTCTCCTGTCCCCCTCCTTCCTTCCCTTCCCCTCTCCAACCCTCCTGCTCCTCCTTCCCTCCTCCTCCTCCTCTTCCTTCCTTCCCTCCCGGCACTCTCTGCCCGGGTTCTCCACTCGCCGTTTCTTGCCGGGCTTCGCGGTGTCAGCGACGAGCGCGAGTTTGTGTGTGTATTTTCCCACAAAAGTTTTATCAGGTCGGCAGTGTGGCCAAATTAGTGGCATTAGTGGGCCCGCCCGTCAGCTCAGCCTCATCAAGCGCCCGGAACAGAGGGGGGGGGGGGGGGGGAGAGAGAGAGAGAGAGAGAGAGAGAGAGAGAGAGAGAGAGAGAGAGAGAGAGAGAGAGAGAGAGAGAGAGAGAGAGAGAGAGAGAGAGAAGTGGAGGGGGGGAAAAAACCAACGCCTCCCCTTCCTCTCTCTTCCCCTCGCCCCCCCCCCCTTCTCTCTTTCCTCCTCCTCCTCCTCCTCCTTGCATCCCCCTCTCTTCTCTTATCCCTTCCCCTCGCCTTCGCGTCGCTAGGGACTTGATTTTGTCTCACTCTCTCTTATTCTCCTTTCCATTTTGATTAGGAAGGGTTTACGTCTGCCAAGAAGCGAGTGCCAGAGAACGGAGTGAAAGAAAGTGGGAAAGTCAATGTTGTTTTGAATTGGTTGTTGTTAGAAGGAATGCTTAGTAACTACGTCTGTTCTTCCTGTTTTTTCTTCTTTTTTTTTCTTTTTTTTATCGTAGCCTTCGTGTGGGGAGGTGGCGAGGGCAGGCCAAGACAGATCGCGAGAAGTTGTATCTAAAAATTTCTTTCTTTCTCTCTCTCTCTCTCCTTTTTTCCCCTAATTTTTCTTTCTCGTTCCCTCTTTTTACGTACATTTTTAAGCTCTCTTTGTATGTTGTTTTTCCACCCATCTCTCTCTCTCTCTCTCTCTCTCTCTCTCTCTCTCTCTCTCTCTCTCTCTCTCTCTCTCTCTCTCTCTCTCTCTCTCTCTCTCTCTCTCTCTCTCTCTCTCTCTCTCCATCTCCATCTCCATCCCTCGCTCTCTCTATATTTTTTATCCCTTTTTTCTCCCCCAATCGTCGCAAGTCTCTGAAGAGATTCTTGTGGAGTTGCTGTCAGTGTGATTAAATCCTAAGATTGCATGAGGGCGAGAGAAGGGAAGTTGCCGGGCGGAATGAAGAGGAGGACGAGGAGGAGGAGGAGGAGGAGGTGGTGGTGGTGGAGGAGGAGGAAGGGGGGTAGGAGGAGGAGGAGGAGGAGGAAGGGGGGTAGGAGGAGGAGGAGGAGGAGGAGGAGGAGGAAGGGGGGGGGAACGTTTGTATGACGGAGAAAAACGAACTGGGAGAAGAAACCAAGGGATTGGATGAAAGAACGAAAAAAAGAGAAAGGGAGAGTGAGACCGAGAAAGGGGGTGCGTGTCTGTCTGTTTGTCTCTGGATATACACGAGTGAGTGAATTCAAGCGTCAGCTCTTCATACATTATTTCCCCAAGAGTCGTTCACTGGAGTTTCATAGTTTATATCATAGGTCATTGACTTTGCATCGAAATAGCTACATGGCTTTTCCTTATCAGTTTTTTGGTACAAGTTTGGTGCATCTCGATGATATTTGGTACGACTGACCGCTGGCGCTGTTATCTCGAAGGCAGGCAGAGCGAGACTGACTGTGTGTGCGTAGAGTGCACTTGTTTCATCACTGCTACTTCAGCACACTCAATCAAACACACTTGCCCATGCGTACCAAAATAAATAAATAAATAAAACAAAAAAACAACGCAAACATTCAGGCAAAAAAAACATCCCAAGTCCAATCTTCCGTCGCGATTATAAATAGCTGCATATACGACACCATACGCGAAGATCTACGCAGAGTATTGTGTGCCTGCGGTCAATACTTTACGCGTGGATCCAGTCACGTTTCTGCGGTTATGGAGTCAAGCCTCGAGTTCTGCGGTCTCACGTGAAAAAAGGTTCATTTTAGGTTTATGTTACGCCTCCAATTGCTGCCACTGTCTTGCCCAGTGGTGGTTTAGCGTCAGTTATGCCTTATTTTGTTTTGTAGGCTTGTTGCATTTTGAGGATTTGGTTGTGAATTTCTATTGTGTTCGCCTTCTTTATTTTTCAGTCGTTGGCTGCCTTTGATATCTCCATATAGTTACTGTCGTTTTGTTACTCACGTATATACTCCTTACGTTCTGTTCATCTAGAATTGATATTTGCAATAAGTACTTTTCACCGAAGCGCCATGTTTTTAAACCAATCTTTATCCCAAGCCTTTCTCTCCTTCCCGCAGGTTCCGCGCGTGTCTCCGCAAGTCGAAGACGGGCGCATCCAACATGGTGGGCACCGTGTTCTTCGACGTCGTGAAGACCCGCTGCTTCGTGTTCAAGATGGAGAAGACCTGCAAGAAGTGGTCCTGGTGGGGCAGGTGCGAGAAGTACGGCATGGAGAAGGTCGCCAGCCTGCGCGACCCCATCCCCTGGAGCTCCTGAATTCACTGAGACGCTTTTTCTAGAATTAGAAGCCGGACGCGACCGCCACGAAGGAGACGGAAGAGACGGATCTTCCTGGCGGTTCTGGAATATTTCGGTGTTCGAAGCAGCGGGGAATGGGATTTGAAGGATGGGCCGTTTTCCAACCTGTTTCTCAAGGCTGTTAAGGCAGAAAGACGCAGCGGATGATTCTGGCTACATTTTCGGCCATCTTCTATTACCTTTTTCTGAACTCCACCTCACCCTTCAGTCTCCTTCTCTCCATCTCCGAGGAATTCTATCAAAGCTTCTCATTCCTGGAGGATGAGCCTCGTCTCCAGCCCCCCCACCCCCTTTCCCCTCACCCCTTCCTTCCTATCCATCCATCCCTCCCTCCCTCCCTCCCTCCTTGTCCTCCTCCTTCGCTTGTTCCTTGCTCCCCTCCCTCCCCCCTCCAAGAGGATCTGCCCCTCCGAGCCGCGTTGTTACCAAAGAAGGACAGGCGTCCCCAGGAGGAGGCTGGTGCGAGTCCAAGCGAGTCCCTTGTGGTTCCTAGCGAGTCCCTAGCGCTCCCCCCCAGGAGGCTCTTCGCGGGCGCCTCGCTGTGCCATGTGTCAGTATGGACCAGACTCTTCTGTGTTCCAGTTTGAAGGTACCTGAGCGATCATCATCTACAAAAGTAAAGGCGTATATAGGTTTATAGAGGAGTTTAGTACAGGTATATATATGTGTGTGCGCATGGAAGTGTGTATGCGGTTGCGTTTGGGTATATGTATATATGCATTTGTGTATGCATATATATATATATATATATATATATATATATATATATATATATATATATATATATATATATATATATATATCATGAATTTAAAATGTATGTCATAAATATAAGTGCTTCTAAACGCATTTATATATATATATATATATATATATATATATATATATATATATATATATATATATATATATATATATATATAAATACATGTTGAAGCACATTCCATGTTAATTCTAGACAGTCAAGTGTTATCCACGTTTAGTTCCGACAAAAAACTCTAGAATATACTTAACTCTGCCGTCCGGTTCTGGAGAATCTGTGTATGATGAGCATTATATACTATAGCTATGGCGTTTCCACTGTGGAACAAATAAAATCAAAACTATGAGTATCCATAAAACTGCAAAGAAGCATGTCTAATAGTCACCCTCATCACCAATAGTCGTCGCATTTTCTCATCGTTTTCACGTTCCCGTCGCCGTCACAGTCATCTCATTCATTTCCTTGTATATCTTCCTAGCGAGTGGTGACCCCGCCATGTTTTCCGGTGCTGTTCATATTATGCACGTTACGGTTGTCCAGTCCGGCAACGTATATATATATATATGTTCCTTTTTTATAACGAATAGTCTTCAGCTGCAATGACTTCGCAGTGGAGCTTTCGTCCTGTTGTATGATCGGTCTTCTAAAATAGTCTTGTAAATAGTCAGGCATTTAAAGAGAGAGTGTGTGAATTACGTCCAGTTTAGAATGGCGAAGAGAATGCAGGAGTTTTGGCCAAGAATGCGTCCTGTGAATAACTTGTTCAGTGTTCGTTTCGTGTCGTGTTTTTCATGTGTTAATTCGTCGAGAGAGAGAGAGAGAGAGAGAGAGAGAGAGAGAGAGAGAGAGAGAGAGAGAGAGAGAGAGAGAGAGAGAGAGAAATACTTGTCACACTGTATATAATGTTTATAAAAGATCGATACGGAAAGTATTACACAATATGAGGTTGAGTCCCCCTGTACATAGAAGGCAGTTTCGTCATTAAGTAACTGTACATAAGAGTCAAATTTATTTTTGTCTTGTAGTCTTTAAAAGCCAAGTCTTTTTATTTTATACTTTTCCGATATTGTGTAAATTTACACACTGATCCATAATTTATTACAACGAACCATTTAGACGATGATTTTTTTTATATTCAGACGAGTCAAAAAAACGAGTCAGCGTTTTTGTGATAGTGGCGTGTGTAGTGCTGTATTGAATATTATTGTATAATATAGTATATTCAGAATCTTAAAATGATTTATTTATAGATGTCAGATGGACTGTATAGCTGTAGTTCCATGCCATATATATGTACGTATATATATACGTATATATGTGTGTATGTATGCATATATATATATATGTATGTATATGTATATGTGTATGTATATGTATATGCATATGTATATGTATGTGTATGTGTATGTATGTATGTATGTATGTATGTGTATATGTGTGTGTATGTATGTATGTATGTATGTATATATATATATATATATATATATATATATATA